CAGATATAACAATATCACTAGAAGACATTTTGATTAATTCATTAACTCATACCATTTCTCTGCAGATATAACAAGATAACCAGAAGAAATTTTGATTACTTCATTAACTTATACCATTTCTCTGCAGATATGACAATATCAGTAGAAGTCATTTTCATTAATTCATCAACTCATACCATTTCTCCACAGATATAACAATATCAGTAGAAGTCATTCTGATTAATTCATTAACTCATACCATTTCTCCACAGATATAACAATATCACTAGAAGACATTTTGATTAATTCATTAACTCATACCATTTCTCTGCAGATATAACAATATCACAAGAAGATATTTTGATTAATTCATGCCACATTTCTGCTGATATAACAAAATCACAAGAAGATATTTTGATTAATTCATACCATTTCTCCACAGATATAACAATATCGCTAGAAGACATTTTGATTAATTTATACCATTTCTCCACAGATATAACAATATCACAAGAAGATATTTTGGTTAATTCATTAACTCATACCATTTCTCCACAGATATAACAAGAACACTAGAAGAAATTTTGATTACTTCATTAACTCGTACCATTTCTCTGCAGATATGACAATATCAGTAGAAGACATTTTCATTAATTCATTAACTCATACCATTTCTCCACAGATATAACAATATCACAAGAAGATATTTTGATTAATTCATGCCACTTCTCTGCAGATATAAAAATATCAGCAGAAGATATTTTGATTAATTCATTAACTCATACCATTACTCTACTGATATAACAATATCATTAAAGAAATTTTGACTAAATCATTAACTCATACCATTTCTCTACAGATATAACAATATCACTAGAAGAAATTTTGATTACTTCATTAACTCGTACCATTTCTCTGCAGATATGACAATATCAGTAGAAGACATTTTCATTAATTCATTAACTCATCCATTTCTCCACAGATATAACAATATCAGTAGAAGTCATCCTCATTAATTCATTAACTCATACCATTTCTCTGTAGATATAACAATATCAGTAGAAGACATTTTGATTAATTCATTAACTCATACCATTTCTCCACAGATATAACAATATCACAAGAAGATATTTTGATTAATTCATGCCACTTCTCTGCAGATATAAAATTATCAGCAGAAGATATTTTGATTAATTCATTAACTCATACCATTACTCTACTGATATAACAATATCATTAAAGATATTTTGACTAAATCATTAACTCATACCATTTCTCTACAGATATAACAAGATCACTAGAAGAAATTTTGATTACTTCATCAACTTATACCATTTCTCTGCAGATATAACAATATCACAAGAAGATATTTTGATTAATTCATGCCACTTTTCTGCTGATATAACAAAATCACAAGAAGATATTTTGATTAATTCATACCATTTCTCCACAGATATAACAATATCACTAGAAGACATTTTGATTAATTCATGCCACTTTTCTGCTGATATAACAATATCACTAGAAGACATTTTGAATAATTCATTAACTCATACCATTTCTTTACTGATATAACAATATCATTAGAAGATATTAATTACTTCATTAACTCATACCATTTCTCTGCAGATATAACAATATCACAAGAAGATATTTTGATTAATTCATGCCACTTCTCTGCAGATATAAAAATATCAGTAGAAGACACTTTGATTAATTCATTAACTCATACCATTTCTTTGCAGATATAACAATATCACTAGAAGACATTTTGAATAATTCATTAACTCATACCATTTCTCTGCAGATATGACAATATCAGTAGAAGTCATTTTGATTAATTCATTAACTCATACCATTTCTCCACAGATATAACAATATCAGTAGAAGTCATTTTCATTAATTCATTAACTCATACCATTTCTCAGATATAACAATATCAGTAGAAGACATTTTGATTAATTCATTAACTCATACCATTTCTCCACAGATATAACAATATCACTAGAAGACATTTTGATTAATTCATTAACTCATACCATTTCTCCACAGATATAACAATATCACAAGAAGATATTTTGATTAATTCATACCACTTCTCTGCAGATATAACAATATCAGTAGAAGACATTTTGATTAATTCATTAACTCATACCATTTCTCCACAGATATAACAATATCACAAGAAGATATTTTGATTAATTCATGCCACTTTCTCTGCAGATATAAAAATATCAGCAGAAGATATTTGATTAATTCATTAACTCATACCATTACTCTACAGATATAACAATATCATTAAAGAAATTTTGACTAAATCATTAACTCATACCATTTCTCTACAGATATAACAAGAACACTAGAAGAAATTTGATTACTTCATTAGCTCGTACCATTTCTGCAGATATGACAATATCAGTAGAAGACATTTTCATTAATTCATTAACTCATCCATTTCTCCACAGATATAACAATATCAGTAGAAGTCATCCTCATTAATTCATTAACTCATACCATTTCTCCACAGATATAACAATATCACTAGAAGACATTTTGATTAATTCATTAACTCATACCATTTCTCCACAGATATAACAATATCACAAGAAGATATTTTGATTACTTCATTAACTCGTACCATTTCTCTGCATATATAACAATATCAGCAGAAGTCATTTTCATTAATTCATTAACTCATACCATTTCTCCACAGATATAACAATATCAGTAGAAGTCATTTTCATTAATTCATTAACTCATACCATTTCTCTGCAGATATAACAATATCAGTAGAAGACATTTTGATTAATTCATTAACTCATACCATTTCTCCACAGATATAACAATATCACTAGAAGACATTTTGATTAATTCATACCATTTCTCCACAGATATAACAATATCACAAGAAGATATTTTGGTTAATTCATTAACTCATACCATTTCTCTACAGATATAACAATATCACTAGAAGAAATTTTGATTACTTCATTAACTCATACCATTTCTCTGCATTTATGACAATATCAGTAGAAGTCATTTTCATTAATTCATTAACTCATCCATTTCTCCACAGATATAACAATATCAGTAGAAGTCATCCTCATTAATTCATTAACTCATACCATTTCTCCACAGATATAACAATATCACTAGAAGACATTTTGATTAATTCATTAACTCATACCATTTCTCTACAGATATAACAAGATCACCAGAAGAAATTTTGATTACTTCATCAACTTATACCATTTCTCTGCAGATATGACAATATCAGTAGAAGTCATTCTCATTAATTCATTAACTCATACCATTTCTCCACAGATATAACAATATCACTAGAAGACATTTTGATTAATTCATGCCACTTTTCTGCTGATATAACAATATCACAAGAAGATATTTTGATTAATTCATTAACTCATACCATTTCTCTACAGATATAACAAGATAACCAGAAGAAATTTTGATTAATTCATTAACTCATACCATTTCTCCACAGATATAACAATATCAGTAGAGGTCATCCTCATTAATTCATTAACTCATACCATTTCTCTGTAGATATAACAATATCAGTAGAAGACACCTTGATTAATTCATTAACTCATACCATTTCTTTACAGATATAACAATATCACAAGAAGATATTTTGATTAATTCATTAACTCAAACCATTTCTCCACAGATATAACAATATCACAAGAAGATATTTTTGTTAATTCATACCACTTTTCTGCAGATATAACAATATCACAAGAAGATATTTTGATTAATTCATGCCTCTTCTCTGCAGATATAAAAATATCAGTAGAAGACATTTTGATTAATTCATTAACTCATACCATTTCTCCACAGATATAACAATATCACAAGAAGATATTTTGGTTAATTCATTAACTCATACCATTTCTCTACAGATATAACAAGAACACTAGAAGAAATTTTGATTACTTCATTAGCTCGTACCATTTCTCTGCAGATATGACAATATCAGTAGAAGACATTTTCATTAATTCATTAACTCATCCATTTCTCCACAGATATAACAATATCAGTAGAAGTCATCCTCATTAATTCATTAACTCATACCATTTCTCTGCAGATATAACAATATCAGTAGAAGACATTTTGATTAATTCATTAACTCATACCATTTCTCCACAGATATAACAATATCACTAGAAGACATTTTGATTAATTCATTAACTCATACCATTTCTCCACAGATATAACAATATCACAAGAAGATATTTTGATTAATTCATGCCACTTCTCTGCAGATATAAAATTATCAGCAGAAGATATTTTGATTAAATCATTAACTCATACCATTTCTCCACAGATATAACAATATCACTAGAAGTCATTTTAATTACTTCATTAACTCGTACCATTTCTCTGCATTTATGACAATATCAGTAGAAGTCATTTTCATTAATTCATTAACTCATCCATTTCTCCACAGATATAACAATATCAGTAGAGGTCATCCTCATTAATTCATTAACTCATACCATTTCTCTGCAGATATAACAAGATAACCAGAAGAAATTTTGATTACTTCATCAACTTATACCATTTCTCCACAGATATAACAATATCACAAGAAGATATTTTGGTTAATTCATGCCACTTCTCTGCAGATATAAAAATATCAGTAGAAGACATTTTGATTAATTCATTAACTCATACCATTACTCTACTGATATAACAATATCATTAGAAGATATTTTGACTACATCATTAACTCATACCATTTCTCTACAGATATAACAAGAACACTAGAAGAAAACTGAGAAAAGTGAAATTTCACATATTTTTGGGGAAGATCACTGTTTGTATGACATGTACGATACCATCAGATTTTCTACCAAGTCTTTCGCCAGCCCGATAACCCATTTTCAGCAATAGCTTCATCCCGATACCGATACCACGTGTATGCTTCTCTCAATCACCGATTCGCCGATAGTGACATTTCCACGCCTTTCCTGCTTATATTCTTTTCATGAAGTTGTTGCTCAATCATTCGTAGCAGCTTCATCTAAAGCATATGTAGTTCCAGTTCAAATTTATATCCCATTAAAGAAAGCTTATTGATTACAGAGATTGATTTTGTCTGGAAAACAATAATCAAATTGGCTAAATATTGAAATAACTAAAGAAACAAGACAATATCATTTGAAATGATTATAAGACTAGCATTTTAAGCCTACTTCACAAAATAATTGCTTAACTGAGTAGCTAAAGAAGATGCATCAAATTTATATTTCATTTGAACAGAAAGAAACTTCAATTGTTTTAGAATTTTAAAAATATAATTTCAAAAGAAAAATTTGAGCTTAACAAAAACCTTCGTCGTCATTAGCTAGTTCCGGGATTGGATAAATCTTATTAGGATTCACAGCAATTCCTTTCCCGGTAAGCAATAACCGGTAAGAACTGCCAATTTCTCACCATCCATTACAGTAACTCGAGCACTGCTCCATAATTTATTTTCACCCAATACAAGTACAAGTGAGTTTTCTCTTACCATTCTAAATAAAAAGTACTTTTTTTTTTTTTTTTTGATCGAAAGAGGTAATAATTAAATCTTTATTTTGTAAGCAATTCATCAATGCTAATAATACACGGCAAGATGCATATTCTCAAAGGGCTGAAAACGAAACTTCTTCACCATGCGAAAAGTGACATTACAACGATCATTAAGAAAATATTCGCAAGGTCTCATTGCTGCTTCTGGAGGATGACCATATAATACTTTGACCTATAATCATCTAAAATACTGTCTAAAAATTTTGGAGTTTCACTTTATCAATAAAAAAATTTATTCATGTAACCAATTTTCAACGTTCTACATCAGGTTTCATTGTAAAAAAGTTACAAAAATTAGTTAGCCTAACATACCTTGAGGTCATCTTCTTCACTTGAATCTTCAACAAAATCTAAAATGACAGCGTCGTGGAAATGCACCGCACGATCAATAGTTCGATTGTACAGTGCAAGACAGTGCATTTCAATTAATTGACTAGAATCTTGCACGTCACTGCTCGTATGAGTTTCATTAAAATCTTGTCCCGTCACCGAAGTTGTTTCATTTTCTGCAATAAAATTAACAATGCTTACAAAACGATATAGAATAAATTTTCTAAAATTTCAAAAATATACATAATGTATTAAAAATCACACTTAGTTTCGAAAAATTAAATAATTCAAACTTTAGTCAAAGCTTTTTTTTTAATCAATAAAATCATTATTACTTAACTATATCATTACTACTTAATTAACTATAATGGAATAAACAGTACAATTTCTTCATTAATATCCAGAATTTTAGCAAGATTTATGTATGCATTAAATGCTAAAAACTTATTGCACTGATTAATGGTAAGTCTTTAGATAAAAAAAAAAAAATGTGAAATTCATTTTATATCAAAGCTGAAATCTTATTACCAGTCAAAAGTGCAATAAGTTCTACTAAGTCAGAATGTGAATCCATCAGAGTATTTCTTCTCTGAAGATCTGCACATGTTTCAAGCTCTGCATCAATTTCTTTAAGCTGAAAAAGTAAGAATTTTATAGTGAAATTGCTTTTCAGGATTTTAAGTAATATTAATCTAGTAACATTTGGTCCAGTGCAATTAATCTTTTGAATCATTCCATACACAAATATTCACTTAAAGAATGTTAACTGTATGTAAATGCATGAAACAAATTCATTTATAATCCATCTGAATGAACATTCTACTCATTATGATAAAAACTTTATCATTAATAACAATGATATCGTTAGTAACACGACAGGTATTAGCAAACAACAGCTGTAATTGCTTTGCTGGAGTGCTCTTTAATATTCCTGAAAGATGGAATTGTGAAGAAATTATTCACAAAAATGCTACATATCACAAAGTGGATGTGTACACCCATGTAAGAATACCAGCTTTATAGCTGGTATTCTTGTAGCAACATTACACGGACTGTATGCACGAAAGCTTTTCTCAGAATATCACTATCGGTAGTATCAGACTATACGTCTACTACCGCAACTTCCTCACAATTCTGCAAATATTTAAATGTTCGGAAACAAATGAACGGAATTGGACTAATTCAATCTTCTCCTAATCAATAGATAACGAATAAGGAATACAATACTCCTAATAGATGGTTTGGAGTTAGCTATCAATCAACGTCAAACTTCATATTAACTCAAGAAGAAATTCTCCTCTGGAAGAGGGTTAGTCTCTAACCTTGAAGATATAAAAGATTGTTTGAAAAGGATGAATGCATAACGAATACTAGCATTATCATATGGAATAACAATGATACGACCAATCATTGTTTATATCGAAAGATCGGAAAATTCAAGGCTACAAAGTATAACAACCATTTCATCATCGATGAGATACAAGCATCGCTTATAATATTGATAAAAACCCTTGTATTAAACACCAAAATTGTAGATTCACCTTCCAATTTTAATGCAGGGCGATATAGTTATGGAACTAGACGTTGAAGATGACTCGAACTCTACTACAAAATTCAAACGAAGAGTAACAAATAAACTATTGATGATGGAAAAGTCTCCGGATAGAAAATACAATCCTGAAAATGTAGAACTTCAATACCTTTCTGTTTCACTAAGACAAGAATTCCTTCAACAACTCAAAGAAACACAGAAGAGAAGTTGCCAAAACAGAAATAACTTATTACTTTTGATCAAATGGCTATCAATCAGCAATCCTACCATTGTCACGAAACTAACACTTCAAAGAAGCGATGCGATAGCTAAAAAGAATTAGCGGAAATTTGATGGTGGCTCCTTGCAAATCAGAACAATCAACAATCGAAAATATCGAATTCAAAGAAGATTTAATAAGCAAAGGAGAGAAGGAGAAGAAATTATCAAACAAATGCAAAGGGAATTCAATGAAATTGTTCTACCGATAGAAGAAGAATTTGAAAACGTAATAACACATTGGAAATTGATTTTCATCTGTATAATTATCGTGACAATATTAACTATTTTAGTTATTATTAAGTGGAAATTTAAATTAGTTCAATCTCTCCTTTGTAACGAAATTCAAGTCAAACTACAATCATTACTTTCCCTATAGAATCACCACACACTCAATTCCTAACTAAAGAAGAAATCCCACCCATTAAACTCCATACATTTAACTATATACCTCAAAATCACTCTCTCTCAAAATTACATCTTAAAACAATCTCTCTGTCTTTTGGGAGTGTCGCGAATTATAATTTAGCGAAAACTTCTAACCAATTTCATACTATCATAAATCATCTCTTTTTAAATTGTAAACAATCTACGGTATTCACACATGTAATTTTAATCTCCTTTGTAAACACATCCAATTCTTTTCATGCATGTAATTTTTTTCTGTAAAATTGAAATTAGCTTTCATTTTATCTCTTCGTTATAAACACTTCCAATTCTTCACACATATGATTTTTTATGTAAAATGAAATTAGCTTTCATTTTAATCTTTTCCTTGTAAATACCTCGAATTCTTCACACATGTGATTTTATCTAGACACGCTCAATCCTCACTCATATAATCAATTCTAATAAACAAAAAGGAATTATTATCATTATATCGACTACTACTCTGTTAACCAATATCAATTCCTCCGGTCTTCTTTTTTATTATAAACCTCTCTTTTTTATTCCTCGGTTTATTCATACTGCGTTTTCGAAAAATAAAGATTTATTAACTGTATTGCACTGTATTGCAACTATTTGAATATCAACCAGACAAATCTTTCACGATATTTTTTTAAAAAAAAAAACGACGATAGTTTATGTTTAGCTTATATAAGTAAAAAATCTAATATTTTATTTGAGTTAAAATTTAATATTTTACAAGAAAAAAGAAAAAAAACTATTATGGTTTGTTATTTTAATAAACTATGAAGTATTATTATGCTTGTTTCCTTGTTTTTTAACTGTTCGATTGTGGAAAAATTAACTAAATAATATTTCAGAGCAGTTTCATACATATTCTTTCCTTGTTTCCTTTATTAACTCCAATAATTTTATGATTTTGAATTTGTCTAAAGTTTTACTCATTTAAAAAAAATCGTAAAATAATCGAAGTAAAGCATAGTAAGGAATTCTTTTCAGTGTATTAGACTACACCATCTGAATGAAAGTGAAGTGAAAATCATTGAAGAAATTAATGAATCAGAAAAGAGTAAAAAGTAGTGATAATAGTTTATCTACAAATTTCAATCAGGTCTGTATGAAAATGTCTTCTTAAATAGTTTCAGTTTTCATTTCCTATGCAAATTTGTTAAATTATTATGCATATTCATTAATGCAAATAAAATCGATTTGTGATAAAACTGAGAAAAATCATTCATTTTGTCATTATTCCAAATTGAGGATTGGTAGCGTGCATACTGTTTAAGGAAGTTAGGATTTCACTTAAATTTAAATTTACTATTCAAATACACTTGCTGATGGTTTGTAATAAACTTTCTGCTAGAATTTGAAATTTTCATTTTTCCCTCCTAGAAAGTTTTTAGTTGTTACTAATATTACTGCTGTTCCATTCAGTCAGGTCATAGCGAAAACTTAAAAAAAAGGTTGATCTAGAGGAAATCATGCAATTAGGTTAATTAGATTAAAATTTAGTACTTCTTTAGGGAATCAAAAATTGTGACTTTTTGTTCTGTTTCAGATGAAACCAGAGACGACTACAGAGAGACATTTCGATGTCAGTAAGGATCAGAAAGTACTGGAATTACAGAGAAGAATTTGCAGTCGAGTAAGTATCGTATTCAATTTATTACTTAATATCTGTTGATAATGTAAGTTTACCAGTGAATCTTTTTTATGCTTTTTGCAATTTATAAAATTCAAGATTGTAAGATAAAACAAATGAGAATTTTCTTTAACAAATCAAAAATAATAAGTTTGTCTCAAAAATTTGATAAAAAAAATTTAGTATGCTACTGCAGTGAAGTGAGTAAAGCGCATTCGCTTCGATAGATCCTTTCACTTAGCTTTATTCCTAGGGATGAATTTTAGGAAATATTACACAATAAATTGATCATTTCAGACAAACACCACAAAGAGATGACACAGCAATATTTGGAAGGAAGGTAAATACTGTTTTATGTTTTCGTTCTTTCTCTGTTTGGAAACTTTCGCATTTTCATTCATACCCTATATCACTTTTTTGTTATTTAAAATATTAATTTTCTAATGTTTTATTTAATACTCTAGCTAATGTTTGGTTTGTATTCATGGTCTTCAGATGCTAGCAAGTTTGTATTTCCTGAATGCCTGAAGCACTTGCAGGCTTGTTAAATGTTGTTTAGAAAATGACTTTCTCCATTTACTATGAAATGCTTTCATATTATGCTTCTTCCATTTTTCTCGTGCATCATTCTTTGTGTGGTTCAAAATTTCTAAAATGATACATTTACAGGAAGTTGCTCTGGAGAATCAGCTGTTATTATATAAAATGGATGAGAAAGGAACTGGTTGTGAGTCAGCGCAGAATAAACAAATTAAAGTGAATGTTGGATGTGGAGTTGCAAATAAAAGAGAAGGATGGAAGGCGGATGAGTCACTGAAAATTTTGGAAGACAATGTAATTAATTTAATCGAAGCTGAGGTTCGTTACTATGCTTCATATTTTTAATAAGCTATGCATTTGAATTTAAGCGCTTGAGCAACATTATTACTTTGACATTTTACTGATAGCATATGATTTATACAGTTATCTGAAGGAAATAAATATGACACAACACCGCTGCATAACTTAATTTCTATTAGGTGCTGTTATGTAAGCAGTTATGCAAATATTATTTGTATTTAATTATTAACAAAGTTGAGATTCTTGATCTTGGAACTTTTGTTTATCTCTAATATGTTTTTTTTTTTTTTTTTTTTAAAGATAATCAAAGGGATTTTCTTCTTCCATGCAAATATCAAATTAACAATTTTCTCAAATTTTTAACTTTCAGATCATGTCAATGGGAACGGATATTCAGTGGACGGATATGGAGCCGGCAAAAAAAAGCACTTAGAGAAATTATCGTTCTTCCGTTTCTCAGACCGTATGATTTTTATGTATCTAAC